CCCCAAAACCCCAAAACCCCAAAACCCCTCTATTTTAGAGGAATATTGAAACAAGTTAGCTATTTATTATGACCCAATCAGTTAGCATTGAGCATGATAAACACTCCAACCAGATCGAAAAGCGGAAATTGGACTTTCTGAATAAATTATCAGGTGCTTATAATGTGCTCCCTTACTTTGCCCCGATTGATTGATGAGACAAATTAATGAGGAGATTTTCCACAAAATCTAGAGAGATATGGGTCACTATGTTAAAGAGATGGGTAGATTTGCTTGATGATACTCTTATAGAGCTGACTATTACCCTTGAAAATATTAAAAAATGGGAAGATTGAAGGTTTTTGCAAAACTACAGCTTCAAGTTTATCTTTCCTGCTGTGAAGATAAAGGACCAACCCTGTTACAGAAGGATTCAAAGATTTATCAATCAGATACCACACAAGAAGCAGGTGAAGAGCTTTGAGATCTTGAGACCAAAAAGAAAAGTTTCAAGAAGAAATATTGGTTATTTCAGAAATCAACTTATCACAAAGCTGGCTAAGATTTCAGAATCTTTGGGCTACAAGTACTCAGGAGAAACAGTCCCACTAGAAACTGGAATGATTTACCTTTGATATTTTGGAGAGATCTTTCATGTCGAAGGCAACCAGGACGAAATGGTTTGAGATAATCTTTATATAGTTTCAGTCCCAAATTATCTCAAATCAACTATTTGAATAAACTCTGAGTTCCTGATTAACAGTAAAAGCATTAAAGTAATGAGCTACAATGAAAAGGCATTGGGTGAAGGACTATCTAAAGAAACTGATAAAAAGTTAACCAAAGAATTTCTTGATGTTGAAAAGCTACATTTCAGTTCAAGAAATAATCTACTCAGCGATTATTCTAACTAAAGCATCTTTGAAAGAGACTATTAGTAGTTTTTACCCAAACTTGAAGAGCATCTACATTGATAGAAGACTAGCAGACCCTCATAATGAAAACTGAGAATTCCTTGAACCTTTTGGAAATCCAAATGCAAAAATATTCATTGAAAAGGGATATTTGCATAATGGATACCAAATGAAAATAGCATCTAAAAAGGCTCTGATTTACAATTATTTAAGCTTTAACTGAAACTCATATAAGCCAATTCAAGATTGTGAGCTCCTTGTTGGATCATTAATCATATATAACAATGGAATATGATGAATATGCTTCAAAGTCCTTGAGTTTAAAAATTGATCTACATGAGCTCAAACAGATGAAGAATATAGCAGAACATATAAAAATAGTCCAATGGCATTACTCTATCAGTGGTGAATGATCCCAATTTCATCTATTACTAAAATTGAAACAAACTATACTTCATTTATGGTGATTGAAAACCAGAAGCCAATGATACCAAAATTTTTGGAGCATCGACGGCGAATTCCGAGAATTCACTACAAAAACACTTGGAAACCATATTCTGAGGAGCACAACAAACTAGCACAGAGGTTAGGCAAGGAGTGAGAGTTTACCTTCCGACATGATGGAAGACATGAATGCCCGCCCGACATCGCCATCGAATGTATCCAGAACTGTTTGAATGCATTCTTATGGAAGGAATCCAATACTTCTATAGATATTCCATGCTTCTTCAAGGGATTAGATGTTATTGGTGTATTCGAATTGACTCGAATTTGAAAATTTAGAAGAGTAAATATTGTGCTTGGATGATACCCTCCTGAGAATAGATACAAGCTTGAAACTATCTGAAAGACAATCAAAGATATTACCAGGCTACAGAACATGGGGAATGTATATTTACAGCATTTTAAAGACAGGAAAGAATTTAGCAATGATTCTGAAGCCCTGAAGAAGTACAGGAGTCAATTAAACTATGTGTTTGAGTTTCTTGATCTCCCGATGAGTATCCAAATAATCAAAAAATATTAAGCAAGGGCTTATTTTTAGGGAATGCATACTTAACATTTAATTTTTACGAAATAAGCAAACTTAAACTTTATATTCGCATAATTACTTTATGATATTTAAATCCTTTAGAATGAGTCTTTGTTTAGTTATTGCTCTCTAAGCTTGAGCATTAGCTTTATTCAAATGCTTTCTATCTCATGTAAAATTGTATTCTAAGTATTTAAAACATTTAGGTCAAGTCAAACATTTAAATATAGTAACATTTGGGTATCCCATTTTACTTAAATTAGAATGTAGAGTTTTATCATTCCTTTATGATATAAATATCATAATGATATAAAATCAGATCTAGGTAAAGTCATCTTGTATATTTAATGTCTCCTTATTTTACTTCAGAGAACTTTCCATTATGATAGTTTTACCTAAACCTCTTACTTTATAGTTAAACTTAAAATAGGACAATTAGCATGCTCTGAACTGAAAACATTGTTTTAAATTATTACTTAGCACTTTACAGTTTGCACCATTTAATAAAGCAATTAAATATAATGAAATATTTTAAGACGGCGAGATTCTGACTCCAAAGATAAATTATGTATTTCAAAATTAGTAATTCTTTCACCGTAAATTTGATTTTTTTCTCAAAAACTGTTAATTCCAAACAAGGCAGTGATAAAAAGGATTTGAGTCGCAACTACTTTGAACTGTTTCTGTTCTAAGCAGGTAATCATAACCTGTATGGGAATGAGAAGTTTAACTTAACATACTTCGCTAATATTATTCAAAGAAAATGCAATGGTTGTGTATACATCACTGCACTTAAACTTGCTGGGCCGAGGTTAATACCCAACAAAAGTAACTCTCCAAATCCTGCTTAATTATGGGTCAGCTTTATAAAACCCACATACATTATGTTTTAGGTGTTAAAGCGGATTTAGCACAATGCAGGAAAGGACGAAATGATGATTCAATACTTAATAACCAAGGGCTATTTGGTATCCGTTAGTAATGAGAACTGTTTTAAATTCAAGATTTAGTAAATAGCATGGGGTTTTGGGGTTTTGGGGTTTTGGGGTTTTGGGG